ATTGCCCTAATGGAAATAATTGCCGAAAGAAAATATTTGTCGCCGCCGCATTGCGCGGGCAAACGACTAGTATATATATATATATATATATATATATATATATATATATATATATATATATATATATATATATATACACACACACACGTGCTCCTAAATTACACTATATGAAATTATGAATGGTACATGTGGTTTGGTATGGTTTGGTATGAAATTACCCCATCCCCTCAATCCACAATCCCACTCCCACCGCATTACCTTCTTCATCGACTCCTTCACTTCCGGCTAACCATCTCCACATCCTTTGTCTTCTCCGATAGGACTGCCGTCTTACCCTACCCAAAAAAAAAAAAAAAAAAACAATTACAATTGACTTATAATTGTTTAATTCAAATATAGTGTTGCAACAAAAAAAACAATATACAATTTATTCTCACAAAAAAAAATTTTTATATATATATATATAACAAGAACTGCTCTCCACATACCCATGTAATAACAACAAAATTATTAGAGTAAAATCAGACCGTTTTTTTTTTTTTTTTTTTTTTTTGAAGTTCTTGACAAGAGAACATTATGGTTCTTCGATTTCAATAGTTTAGATCATTATACTGAGTTCAACTTAAAGAGAGAAAAGTAATGAAATGAGTAGAAAGGAGAAGAAAAAAAAAATTGGTGTTCCCGAGATTAATTAAAAGGAAGAAAATGGAAGGAAGTAGAGGAAAATGAAATGATCAATTTCCCTCCTAACTTTACTTCTGATTTGGAAGTATTTGGAAAGAAAGAACAAAATGATTAACTTTCCTTCTACTTCTTTTCAACTCGAGAACACAAAAGAAAATTTTGTTTTACTTTCATTTCTCTTCTTTTCTCTCTTTATTTTATTTTCTTTTCTTTTCTTTATTCAAACTCGGGAACTAGGTGTTAGGGTTCTTTAATTCAATGGGTTCTTCTATTTCACTCTACAAATTGTTTGGGTTCGATTTCAGCGGGTTCAAAGATTAGGGTTCTTTGAGTCTGCCGTTCCTTTATTTCTTTCTCATTTACCATCAGATGCAACCAAAATCAAAAACCTTTGTGTCTCGGTGTTCTTCTATATCTCTTTACAAATTGTTTGCTAACGATAGAGGCCAGGGTCGATTCATATCACAAGCGATGGAGGTTTGCTAATCTTGATTTATCTTATTTTGGTTTCTGAAAAATTGATATGGATTCACCTGAAAAGTACCTACGGTTGTAGCTATAGGGTTTGTGAAATTTAGCAAAGCCTTTGTTTCTTGAAGAAGAATGATAAAGAGAAAAGAAAGATTCAATGACAATGGCTTTAGGAATGGTGGTTTAGGTCTCTTGTACTTCTTGATTTCTTGATGTCTGATGAAAAAGAGATAAAATAATAACGATATAATAGTCATTTCAGAGTTTTCACAGACAAAAAGAAGTAGCAAAACAAAACTTTAGAGATCTCCCAAGTTTAAGAAAAAAAAATAAGTTAAAGACTAAACATGTAAATTATCAAAAACCACAACGACCATCTATATAATTACTTTTTTTGTTTAAGTTGTTGTACTAAGACTTTTGGGGCATTGGGTTAAAATATTCATTAACTCCACCACAACTCATTATGATTATTTATTGTTGACTTTTTCGGCAACGCATAGAGAAAGAAACAAAAAAGATTCTTGCCTTGCCTCTTGCCTTTTACTTGTGTCATGCCAAGCAACAACGAACTACAAGAAAAAAGGGTATTAGCGACGACAAAAATCGCGGCTATTGCTCACCAAAGTCGTTGCTAATAGCTTTACCGGCGACACGTCGCCGCTATTGAGTCACCGCTACTGCCTCGTCGCTATTGCTCAAAAAGTCGCCGCTAATGATATATGTCGCCGCTAATGCTCCAGTCGCCACTAATGCCCTATGTCGCCGCTATTTCCGTTTTTTTTTTTTTGAAAGCAGCCAATCTCGGTTGTCCGATAACCGATACAAAATAACGTTAAATGTAGAAAAACTGATACATTAAATGCAGAAACACGATTACATAACATCCAGGTTTTATAATACCATACATACACCAAAATAAATAACAAAATTCTTATAAATTTATGTCATACTACAAATGCTAATAAAAGATTAAACTAATACGATGTGTCATTATCCCCGCCACCGTTGTTCCATCCTATAAGCTCCACAGTTGACTCCGGATCGTTGGACATTTATCAAAAATTCTCCAACCTACATAATAAATAACAAATTATAAACTTGTAAGTTAACTATTAACTTAAACCAAACTAAAAATTACCAAATGACATTGTAGCGTTCTACTTGTTTTTTGTTTCTTTTTTCCATTATGACATTGTAGTTTACATATTTCACACAAAATACAAATACACACATACATACAATATACACATATATACATACTTTTTATACACATAAAACAACCATGAACACAATCCAAACTGCATACAAATACATACATACATACACATATACACATATTTTTTATACACGCACATATATGAAATACACAGAATTTTCACACACATATATATGAAATACACACACATATATAACATATTTCACACACATATATACAAAATACCCACATATATACAAAATACCCGGTCACAATAAATAGAAGTAATAGAACCTGTGATGGCGTGTGGTGGTCCAGTGGTGGCGTTAGTGGCGAGTGGTGGTTAGGAACACAATCAGCAAAATTGAAATTGTAATTTTTTTGCAATTAACCACTTCAATAAGCTTAAAATCAATGGTACAAGAGAAAATGGACCGGAAATTGACCTGGAAAAGCTTGGTTTCGCCGGAAAATCTTTGGTTTCGCTGGAAAAAACTTGGTCCTCACCGGAAAATCCTTGCCTACCAATGGTATCTTCACCCAAAATTGCTAAATGTGACAATATCCCACTCTAATCGACGAAAGTGTTGAAGGAAGCGATGCAGACGAGAGAAAAAAACGAGATTTACAGTGAAACATAAGACAAAATGGGAAAAGATCAACGTTTTTGGGGTTAAGTGTGTCGACCTTTAGCAGCGACGCCTTTACCAGCGACAATTTTGGCTTTAGCGGAGATTTCCCTCAATATCAGCGACACTTAGGAGGGAAACATTATCGTGCCGTTTTTTTCGACAATTAGCGGCGACTTGGTTAGGTCTTTAGTATTGCTTTTATGTATTCTTCAATTATCCTCGTCGTTGGATTAGAAACACGATCGAACGGTCTTAATTTACCAGAACGTGAAAGCGCGGATCCGTGTCTACAGTCATTAGCAACGACACCAATAGCGGCGACACCTACTTTTAGCGGCAACAATTTGATATGTCGCCGCTAAAAGTAGGTGTCGCTGCTATTGGCGTCGCCGCTAATGACTGTATTTCTTGTAGTGATTATTTTTTCCCTCTTGTGCCATCACTCTCATTCACCAAGAAGAAGCTGAAAACTACCAAAATCATTATTTCCAAGCTTGTAGGTTATAAAATACATTGAATATTTCAATTCTTCTAAATTTTCTTTTAGATAATTTTATAACCTAACTCTTATTTTTTGTTTTTTAAGATTACAAACACTAAACTTCTAATTATATGTGGTTATAGTTACAATGTTAACTTAGTTTATAAATTGTGAGTTTTATCTTTAATTTATAATGTTTATTTTGAAAGTTGGAATACTAACATATTGAGCTTGTAATTTATTAAGTTTTATATTTTTAGTTTTTATATGTTATTTGTTAGATTATATGTTTAATTTTATATAGTCTATGAAAAGTAAATTAGTTGATTAATTGATATTGTATATATTTTCATTTTGGACAGAAATATGGAAAATTACTTCAACAAAATAACATCTACCAAAAGGAAACACCATGTACTCCAGATATTGGTACTTATGTTCCATTTCCTCAAAGTACATGTGATTATATAATGCCTATTAATGTAGTTGATATGGATAATCTTCCTTCGGATCCATCCGAAAAGCCAAGAATCTTGAGTTATAATATTAATCAAAGAGATGAAATACAACGTTGTTATTGGCTTAAGGTACCTTGTCAACCCCACAACCATAAATTCCCAAAACAAAAATTAGAAATAAGTTAAGAGGTTTTATCCCTACAAGGTTTGATTAATATGGTGCTTAGCTAGAGTATAATGTTAAAGAAGAATAAAACATTTTGTTTGTGTTGTTATTTATTTATTTACAGATCATATTGGAAAACAAGTCGATAATGATGAATTTGCTACCAAGCTTGTGATGTCGGATTTGAGAAAGTGTATCGATGATAATTTTTTGAATGCTTCTTTGATTTGTATAATTGAAAAAGAAAGAATTAGTGAATCTTACAAATGAAGTTGTAATGGTTCGTTTCCAAAAATTGAAAACTCATAGAGGACGATTATAATCTTATGATATGTATTTGAACTTTTGTAATATGTATTTGAACTTTTGTAATGTAACTTGTTACTCGTATTTAAATGCGTTTTGACCCGATTCAGAAAACAATATTAGAAATTTTTTGTGCCTTCAATCTATTCGATTCCTACATCCATCACTGCTTAAAAGTTATCATGGGACTTGTTAGGTCATGACTCATGAGCTTAGTTGGAACATTTAAGCACTCTGATTGGAAACATAAACCTTCAAAGTCTAGAATCAAATGTGTTGTGTAAAATATCATAATTAAACAATCAACTTATGTAGATGGTAGTCAAAATTATCAAAAAAACAAAATTTCACAAAATCAAAGTACATTGCGTGAGCAACTAAAATAGCATTCAAAAATCTATGTTTAATTTGTTTTCACAACGACTAGACAAATACGAAATGGTTATTGGTTTAGCATTTTTTTTTTGGTTTATAATTAAGAAGTTGCACCTTAATTACTGTTAAACATCATCTAATGAAAATATATAAAAACTAAGATACCTCACTTTCACTACCATTATTTCGTACCTAAAACTCTTCCATGCATATAGACCTGGGGTCGGTTTCAAACTTTTTGGCGAAGTACAAAGTTTTTGAAGAATTTCCCGGCATTGTGTATTTTTTTAGATGCACTACTTTTAAAATCATATGTGTTATCCCTCACATTTGGTTTAAAGTCCGCTACTGACTCCAGATGCTTCTGCATGCGCTGAATCTCAACAATAGATGCAGTTTGCTTATGCTCCAGCCACTTGGTTATGTCAGTAATGGCGTTTTCCATTTCCCTCAAGCTCTTACCATGCGCCATATTTTTTATCTTTTTCTTCATGTTGTATATGCAATCATCTAATGCATTAAGTGCATCTGCTTTCTTTTTGTATTCTTGGTCCTCCTGTTTATACTTCTCAGCATCGTTTACCATCTTTTGGATCTGTTCATTTGAGAGTCTTCCATTTTCATTAGTAATCGTTAGTTTCTCAGTCTTACCAGTTGATATTATCTCCGATGTGACTGTGAGGATACCATTCGCATCTATTTCAAAGGTGTCCATAAATTTTATAACTCCTTTTGGAGCCGGTGGTATTTCAGAAAATCTAAACTTCCCCAACAAATGGTTATCTGTAGATCTTGTTCGTTCACCTTGATAAACCTTAACAGTTACACAAGTTTGGTTGTCCTTAGTTGTAACGTAAGATTTTGATTTTTTGGTAGGCATTGGAGTGTTCCGAGGGATCACAACATCAAATATGTCTCCTAATACTCCTACACCAAGGGACAAAGGAGTGACATCCAATAACAACAAATCTCGACAACTCTTGTGATTGTTACCACTTAACTTTGAAGCCATAACAGCTGCACCATATGCAACTGCCTCATCAGGGTTCAAGCTCTTGCATAGCTCCTTCCTTTCAAAAAATTCCTGCAACATACTCTGGACTTTTGGTATTCGGGTTGACCCACCGGAAAGAATCACCTTGTTTACACACGATTTCTTCATCTTTGCATCACTTAAACAAGTCTCCACAATCTCAATGCATTTACTGAAGAAACATATGTTGAGCTCTTCGAATTTTGCTCGGCTGAATTTCATAGAGAAATCGATACCCTCGTGCAAGCAATCCAGGTTGATTGATGTCTGAGTACTGCATGAGAGAATTCTTTTTGCTTTCTCACACGCAAATCTCAACCTCCCTAATGCTCTTTTGTTCCCTGTTAAGTCCTTATTCCATCTCCTCTTGAATTCCCGAACACAATGATCCACCATGCGGTTATCAAAATCCTCACCTCCCAAATGAGTGTCACCACCAACAGCTTTCACCTCAATGGTTCCACCTTTTGCAATGGTCAATAGAGAGACATCAAATGTGCCACCACCAAGATCAAAGACAAGCACATTGATCTTGCGAGTGATATCAGACTTCTTGTCTAGACCATAAGCAATCGCAGCTGCTGTTGGCTCATTGATGATTCGCATGACATTAAGTCCAGCAATAGCACCAGCATCTTTTGTTGCTTGACGTTGCGAATCGTTAAAGTAAGCTGGGACAGTTATCACAGCATCTTTCACAACTTTTCCAAGGTATGACTCAGCAGTTTCTTTCATCTTCCCAAGAATCATGGATGAAATTTCTTCAGCCAAAAATTCCTTCTCTTCACCTTTGAAGGAGACAACAATCTTTGGTGTGTCGAAAGGCCCTTGTATGACCCTAAAAGGCCACAACTTCATGTCATCCTGCACTTTGGAATCACTGAATCTCCTTCCAATCAGCCTCTTAGCATCTGTACATCCACAGTTAATTATGTCAATAGCGAAGTGAAATTGTGAAAACTATGATATTGAAAAGACAAAGTAATATGCAGCAGAATACGCAAACAAACATTCCCAGTTCCGATCGGAATGAAAGCTAAACCTCGTTCATGGAATACTGGCTGTTTTCTTACTATTCCTTCTATGGATATATGCTTAATCGTAATAAGAATAACAGCATTCAATAAAAACTAGAAAAAGTTTACCAAATATAGTGTTAGCAGGGTTCATGGCCGCTTTGTTCAGGGCGCCATCGCCAATGAGACGTTCTCCATCAACGAAAGAAACACAAGAGGGTGTTGTTCTGTTGCCTTGATCATTGGGGATGATTTGGATGCGATCATGCTTCCAAACAGCGACACACGAGTAGCTTGTTCCGAGGTCGATGCCGATAGCCGGTGTTCTGTTTCCTTTGCCGTCCATTACAGTCGAAACTCAAAATAAATTGATTGTGTGATTTCACTTTTCACCGTAACTTATATAGAGTTGAATTATTGGCCGCAATTTGAATAAAGACATTTTCCATATTTTTCTTCTAAAATTTGTTGGGAAATCTTTTCGGTATAACTATCTTATTAATTTAAAAATTCCGGATATGTTTGCCACATTTAATTTTCCATTATAAATCTGGATTATTAAATATTCAATCTAACATCTGGATATAAAAGCCCTATAAAAATAGATTCCACTATAAATCGGAAATTTCAAATATTAATTTTGATTTGCATTAATATCAAATTAGATGATGACCCGCGTTAAATGCGGAGAACGCATAAAAAAACATAGAATTATTTAAATATATTACACCATTAGCAAACATAACAATTAAAATTGCATTACAATAGCTAGTTTAAATTCATTAACATACATTACAATAGCTATTTTAACTTCATAACCGTTAAAAGTACGTTACCATATTAAATAAACCCAAACATTATTTTCCCATTCCTGGTGCACCTTTAGCTTTTCATTTGGGAAAAAAAACATTAAATAGTATTTATTTTTATGTTTTAATGAAAAAAAAAAATTGACTTACTAAAGTACAATGTTATTTGTTCCAAAGAATTATAACAACCGAAAGTAACACATTAATGTATTTTAGGGTAAAACCTCTGATAGGTGGAAAATATATCACGTTAACTATGTAAGGGCAATTACATCCAATATGTAGAAAATATGCCAATTTGACTGTGCAAATCAAATATGGAAAATAGAACCAGAGGGAAAAATATGTCAACTTGAATGTGTAAGGGCATATATGTCCAATAGGTGGACAAAATGAAAACTATTTTTTTATTTAAATGATATTTACACTGAATAACACAAACAAACCTTCAATACCTACATAAAAATAAAAATGTACTTAGTCAGAAGTAGATGATATTGTGGAGTAGGTATTGAAAGTTCGTTGCTATTTTGAACTTCAATTCGTGTTGATATTTTCCTAAAAATGTTATTAAAGTCAAACAAAAAGTAAGATAATCTGGCAGAAAGAATATTGTGTTAATAATATGATTAATGAAGTAGTTTTGGAGCAAGGGATATATATATATATATATATATATATATATATATATATATATATATATATATATATATATATATATATATAATTAGTTTTTGAGGAGGGGCAAAACAGACACATTTGTTGACATTTATTAGATTTTAATCCCCTGGTACAATAACTTTATGTTTATTATATCTTTGTTTCAGGAACAACAAATTTATGCTTTAATTAAAAAAATAATTTTCAAGCCGGGTCAAAATAGTCAAATTCGTTGACATTTTCTATTTTTTATCCGATACATTAAAGTCCAAGTTTATTAATCCTAAATGCTTGAACCTAATATTGTTGTTGACAAAAACTTTGAAGGGCAACTACAGGGCCAGTTCTGAGGATTCAAATACCCAGGACGAAACGGATAAAAAAGCCTCTTAGGCCTTAACGTGTAACACTATAACGAATTAAAATACATAAACTAATTTTTTTATTAAAACGAAGATAAACCTTATAGCAATAAACATAGCAAAATCATAGTATTTTAATGACTAAGGGCTTGTTTGATATGTAGCTGACTGGGTCCGGTCAGCACTTTTGGCTGACTCGGTCCGATCAACCCGTTTCATAAAGGGCTAAATATGTATGACCCGGTCCAATGTTCTGATTCAATCATGGAAAATTGGTTGATTCGGTCCTAAGTAAAAAGGTAACTGACTGGAAAACTTCCCCATTTTATCCCTATCGTGAACGATAGATGCTCCCTTCTTTCATTGACCCTTCCTAGTTTGCAGCCTCCTTTCTTTGCCGTCTCTTTCCTCCGTCTCCACAAAGAAAGAATGTTATCTCCCTACTGTTGCATAAACCTTCTGACCTGCAACCAGTGATCGCCCCTTCATCTTCCTCTTACCAATCGACCGGATACCATCATTCTTCTGACCAGGCGAATATCTTTCCCAGTTTGCTCTATTTTTGCTGTTCCTTTTCAATTTTTCTATGAATTTTCGATTTTGTATTTTAAAGGAAATGGTTTCGTATGAATCGCAGTAGTCGTATGATCAGGAAAAAAAAGGTGCACAACAAGTGTTCAATTATTTGCCTATAAGAGTGACTAATTAGTATAGATTGTGCTAACTGCTGGTATATTCGTACTGTAAAAGATTTGATGCATTTGTAGGGGTTAAGTGATGCATAGTAATGAACAATACTATAATATTCATAGCCTTTAAAACAAATGAATCCTAAACATCTATTTCCTAATAAACTTCAGAAAACTAGCTTAACTTGGTCGTGCTTTGTATACCAGATTTGTTGTCATCATTTTACTTCAAAACAAATGAATCCTAACATGATCTGTTGTCATCATTTTACTTTAAAGGTATTATATGGTAAACATTTACAGCCAAATTAGATCTGATCATAAGTACTAAGACAAGTTAAAACACTTCAACTCTTGATTAAACCTCGATTTTGTATTTTGCAAGGCGTAGGAAGTGAGGGCCAAAACATACAAGGGTAATATGTGATGGGTTTTGATCATAAGAACATCCTATGTGCTCATACAAACCCTAATGCTTGAATCTAGGTTTCTCTATTGTACATGCAAGTTATCCAAGACTATAAACCCTAATTCTAACATATGGAAATCGATATTAACATATAATTAGGTTTAAGATATTACCTTGATTGTTATGTAGCAATAACAATCTCAATTCCTCCTTGTATTGACTTTAGAAAGCTTAGAGTCACAAATGTCACTCCTCTAATGGTTCACAAACACCAAGAGCAAGAGGATGAAGAGGAGAGAGGATGGAGGCTGCCCTAAAACGTGTGAAACCCTAAAAGAATGCTTAGCCACGTTTTTAGGTCATAATGGATGTATATATAGTTAGGCTATTAGGGTTATCTAACAAGGAAATCCTAATTTGGATGCTTAAGCCCTAAGCAACCCATGGACACCCTTTCCTTAAGGCCTTGGACGATTTCTCATGGGTTTTCCCATAGAATTCGTCCACCCCTTAATATAAGGCAATCCATAGCCCAAATTGCAATTATCTTATAATTACAATTCCAGTCCCTTAAGTTTAATTAATCTCTTTTAGTCACAAAACTAATTACCGATTAATTATTGACTAATATTAATTAAACAATATGATTTCTCCTTTAATATATTACTCTCATAATATATTAATAAATCATATTTAATCCTTTCTCTCCATAATTCATCCTATCAAGTTGCTTTGGTGAAGGCAACCCAAAAGGACCATGCACCATCGGGTCAAGTACATACCAAAATAGTTATGGACTTAGACACTAATCCAACAATATGGTCATTGTTCATCATTCACTACAGTCAGTTAGAAAGATAATCAAACAACAGAAACTCAGTCAGATGTCGACAAAATCAGAACTTCTAACCCAGTCAACTCTAACCTAGTTAGCAACTATCAAACGACCCCTAATAACATATCCGAACAGCTAATCGACAATCCTTGAAACTTTCCTAGCAATCTTGATGACAAATTGGTTGATCAACTTTTCGTAGTCTATACTCTCTAAGATTTCGTTCTCGATAGATATCATAGCCAAACCGCTAAGTCTTTCTTGGGTCATTGTGGAGCGTAAGTAAGATTTCACAAATTTCAATTTGGAAAAATTCTTTTCTATAGATATGACCGTTACTAAATAGTCAACAATATTCTATATGCAATGCTTGCATTTGGGAAATAATCAAGTTCTTTCAAAAACTTCAAAACATCTATAAGGTTGTTAAATTCATTGGTTTCCAATGTCTCAGATAATTTCAACTCCGTATAAAGTTCCTCGGCATCAATATCCGATCTTTCTTCAAACTTGAGTGCTTTTTCAAGACGATGACAGTATAACTTAAGATCTTTATCTTCAATTCCCCTCAAATTATGTGGAAATAAAAAACCAAATACTTTATCATACTCTTTGAATTGTTCAAATCTTGTCTCAAGAGAAGACATAGCTTGATCAACAATGTATAAGAAATAATTGACTCTGAAATTCTCTTCAGGTGTAAATGAAACTTTTTCGCTACGTAAACTCTCATTAAACCTTTTTTTTTACTTTCAATCAAACGTTTTTTGTGGAAATATTGTATCAATATCCATTTCAATAACAATCTCCTTAGCTTCAACAATTGCTTTTGAAAAACCAGTTCATCTATAATCCTTGAAGTACCCAATCAATTTGTTTATTTCTGCAATAGCATTATCAAGATGCATATCCTTTGATTGTAACTTCTTACTCACAATATTCACATGGTTTAGTACTTCATACCAAACAACAGTTGATACCAAAAATTCAAAGTCACTAAGTTCTTTTTCTGCTAGTGAAGTTGCTTCACTTACAATTGCAACATCATTATCTTTTTCTCCAACTTGAAATAAAGCTTCCCGTACATCCACAAGTTTTTGTTTAATAGCCTTTACACTCTCAACCCGGCTTTCCCAATGAGTTTGACATAATGACTTAAGACTCCAAGCTTTAACATTATATGTCAAATTTTCCCAACTCTTAATAGAATTTGCAAAGATAGTGTAAATACGTTGGATGAATCCAAAAAAAATCTTTCCTTTAACACACTTGTTATCCATATCACATAATGTTAGATTAAGAGAATGTCAACCACAAGGAGTGTAAAATGCTCTAGGATTTATAACTAAAAATCTCTTTTGCACTCCTTGGTGTTTTCCTTTCATGTTTGATCCATTATCATAGCCTTGACCACTCATATCATCAATTTGAAGACCAATAGACTTTAACTCCTCAAGTGTAATATCAAATAATCCTTTTCTAGAGGTATCATCAACATTCAAAAAAACTAAAAAGGACTCCTCGATAGTAATAGAATTATATGATAACTTTAAATATCTCACTATTATTGCCATTTGTTCTTGATGA